CCAGCCAGCTCTGCTGGCTGGAGAATTCTGGGAGTTGAAGTCCAACAAGTCTTAAAATTGCCAAGTTTGGGAACCACTGATCTAGTCCATCTCCTCAACCAAATGGTAGTCTAGTCTTATTATTGAAAACCTCCAGTGATGGAGCACCCATTACTTCTGGTGGCGAGTCATTCCACTTCTTAATCGTTCTCACTGTCATGGAATGTCTCCTGAATTCCCTCTGCTTCCCTCCTGGATTAGTTTCCATCCATTGCTTCTTGTCCTGCCTTTAGATGCTTTGAAGCAGGGGGTCTCCAACTTCGGCAACTTTAAAACTTGTGGGCTTTCAACTTCTGGGAGTTGGAAGTCCACAAGTCTTAAAGTTGCCAAGGTTGGAGACCCCCTGCTTTATAAAACAGATGGGTCCCTTCTTCTCTCTGGCAAATATTGGAAGACTGCTATCATGTATGCATCTTCTGAATCAATCATTTAACCAGGATGGAAGGGAGGTCTTCTAGTCCAACCCCCTGTTCAAGGGGGATACCAGACCAACGGTTGTCCCATCTCTTCTTTAAAAACTCAAGCGTACACAACTTCTGGAAGGAAACTGTTCCATGGATTGTCCTCACTCTCATGAAATTTCTCCTTAGTTCTAAGTTGCTTCTCTCCTTGATTAGTTTCCATCCATTGCTTCTCGTCCTGCCTTCGGGGGCTTTGGAGAATAGCTTGACTCCCTCTTCTTTGGGGCAGCCCCTCAAATACTGGAAGATTGTTCTCATAGTCCTTAAAAAGAAGAACAGAGTTCGAAGGGACCTTGGAGGTCTTCTAGACCAACCCCCTGCTCAGGCTGAAAACCCTATACCATTCTGGACAAATGGTTGTTCAATCTTTCTTGAAAACCTCCAGGGTTGGAGCACCCACAACTTCTAGTGGCAGGCTGTTCCACTGGTTAATTGTTCCCCCTATCAGGAAATTGTGAGCACAGCCTTGCATCCAGAATATTCAGGCAGGGTTGCAACAGATCAGGAATACAATTTAACACAACAATCATTCTCGCATTACATGGGGATGAATCTCTCGGGGGGTTTCTGGGCAGCTGTTAATTTTAATGCTCCTATGTTTATGCTTTTATCTCACGGCAAGCCACCCAGGGTCAACTCTGGATAGTGAAACGGGCGGTAGATAGAATTCGTAAATAAAGAAAGTATTTATTCATTTAGTAATACTGTCCGGTTGGAGCCCAGCTGTCCAGGAGACAGTCTGTCGCTGGCCAAGACAAACATCTGGAGTTCAGAAAGGTCCATAACGAGGCAGGCTGACGGCCCGCAGAGCTGGCAGCCAATTCGGACAGTGAGGAGGTTGGGGAGGAACCTGGGCCAGTCCTGGAGCCTGGGGAAGGCTCGGGCGAGGGCTCTGCGTCGGAGGCAGAGAGGGGGCCACAGCCATCTGGGAGTTATGTGCTGCCTCTGGAGCCTGACGTCAGCGAGGCAGAAGAACAGGGGGAGCCTGTTCCGAGTGTGCACATGCGCAGAAGGCAAGAACCGTTAAGAAAACAGGGTTGACTCAGG